CCCTAGTGTCAATCTCATGTTTGACCACATGATTCTGAGATTTACACTTAACTTGCAAAATTTAGAGGATTAGAAGAATATGGTCAATCAAATCAGAAATGGCTGTTTTAATTTGTTGTATATATACTTCGTATTTCACAGCATACAATAAAAAAACATTTAAAGCTTTGGACACATGTACTTTGATCTGTTTTCAACAAACTAGACTATTATTGGTTGCAGGAACGGAAACAAGATGATTGAGAAATCATGTGTACAAAATAGGTTCATAAAGTAGCTTATTGTGATTAAAAGTTCCAAAGCACTATTGATATAAAAAAAAGGATGACACCCTCGGGGCCCAACCTCGGCCGGATAGTACGTTGGGAGGAAGTAGATTGGATTATAATCCAATCTGATAGATAGAGAGTGAGATTCTGTCCCCGTCACTTGCAGATGCCCTATCATTTTTTAGCATACTAACCTTTCATTCTATAACCTTTCATCCTATAGTAACCGCTATTGATATCAATTTTCATGCTATAACCTTTCATCCTATAGTAACCGCTATTGATATCAATAATGATGGGGTTGTTGAGTGAGCTCGAATTGGATTATTGTATATGTAGTGGTACTCCATAATCCAATGACGCTCACATCTCTCAAAAATCTGCCTTACTGCCGCCCACTAAATAAGCAAAAATGTTGAATCTTCCTTTGGCGGTGCGGCGGTGCTACTAGACCAGCATCGTCCGGAATTCTTTTAGATCTTGTGAGCAGGGTGCTTCCTTTGGAAGTGGCTCAGCAAACCTCTTCTCCCTTCCTAATGACCGTCAAAATTGGAATGACGTCTTTGGATGTGGCTGATGAAACCTCTTCTCTCTTGATGGTGGCTGGTAAAACCAGGACTTGTGATTCTTTTGTTTCCTTTCAACTTTTGAACTCCGTTTTTTTATATTTCTGTTTTAGTAGCAACTACAGCGATGGTGATAGAATAGTTTATCATTGTGCGGAGTTAGCGATCTGGTCTGGCCCTTCGGGACTGGTCAGTTCTATGTCTCACTTTAGTGTTGTTTTGAGCTATTGCTTTGCTTTTGTTTACTTTCATTATTATTAATAAATGAGTGATTTTTACTTCATAATCCATTTGAGAGTTCATCTCTTTAACTATTTAAAAAATTAATGGACACATGAAGTCGGGCTAAAAACATAAAAAAGGATGATAAAAAAGAAGAAATAAGATAGAAAAGATAAAGAAGATAAACACATTAAAGGATAAAAATGATGAAAACAAATTAATCTTCCACAAATATTCACTCCTTACTTTACTTTTTTAAGAATTATACTTTTATCTAATCAAAGAAGAAACATATCATTGTTGATTCTTCTAATTCATGTCCTTTTAGGTCTTTCCCTCTCTCTTCACTCCACTCTCCACCTCTCAACTCGTATAATAGGTGGGTTAGGTGCGTCGTACAATCATGAAGACAATCAAGTCTATAAACATCCTTTTCACTCTTTCTAGAGTTCAATTTTACATGTAATTATATTCCTTAATCACTTTCTCTCGTACTTCTTTCACGGCTTTCTTAACATTTTTAGCCTTCTTATACTCCTTTATGTCCTCATCGTTCCTTTATGACCTTTTTTTAAATAATTGTAATAAAACAAATAAGTCATAAATCACAACCAAATAATCATTAGTTTTTCAAGTATTTTAACAATTTAATCTGGTCCAGTTTAATAAAATATGGTATTATTTAACCAATTTGGTTCGGTCTGGTCCAAGCTAGACTAACATGTGGTCTGATAGAGTATGACTCTATCTGGTAAATATAATAAATGTCGGTTAAGAATCTATTATAATTAATATGTATGATTTGAGTTTTATTATGGTGAAAATATATTCGAAAATAACAATATGATGTATTGCTTATACAACAACATAATAATCGATTTTTATCTACTAATACTTTGATGACTCTAGAACGGGAGGAACAAAGAGAACTATAGGATGGTTTTTCTAGGGTTGCCGTAAGGCAACGCTTAGCTTTGTTGTCTGGCGGTGATCCCTATTGATCACATCGTTGGTTTTTCTTCCTTTCAGATTTTTCCGGATTGGAAGGAGTTTATACGGTTGGACGTGTGCAGAGCTTTTGCGGCTTGGAGTAATCGAAGTCGAGTAGGTACGCTGATTAAGGGGGAACATGAGTATCATCACATGGAATTGCAGAGGGTTGGGTAACCCAGCAACGATTCAGTGTTTGACAGACCTAGTACAACAAAACCGCCCTTCTAATATTTTCTTGATGGAGACAAAACTAAGGTGTTAGCGGGCAAGGGAGATCTTACGCTCCATGGGGTATGCGCATGTCGATGGGGTGGATGCGAATGGGCAGGGAGGCGGTGTGATTCTCGGATGGAATGAAGAACTTGATGTTACGATAAAGGGTTTAAACCCCAATTTTATTGATTGTTAAGTTTGTAAACCAGACAGAGGAACTACATGGAGATTTAAAGGATATTATGCCTTCCCGGAAACCGTTCGTCGTCGAGCAGCGTGGGAGATGTTGCAGAGGCTGCCGAAAATAATTCTAACCCATGGTTAGTTATGGGTGTTATGAATGATATTTTATATGATTCAGAGAAGAAAGGAAGGATTCCACACCCACCGTGGCGTATTAGAGGCTTCTGGGAGGCGCGGTGGTTTCGAGTGGATTGAGAGACTTTCTGTTTGATGGATACCAGTTGTAACACCCGCCCCGTAGGGCCCGAGGTAGTTACTCCTACACACCCTCCAGACCTCTAGTACTATCCTCACAAACCTCCATGAGCCTTTAACGCGCATTTTGTCCTCACTCGTGCGCATCCTGAGAAACTTCCCAGGGGGTCACCCATCCCAAGACTACTCCCGTGCAAGCAAGCTTAACTTTGGAGTTCTTGGTGATGAGCTCCCTTAAAAGGAGATGCATCTTGTTTGTATGAGTAGTACTATTAATCCGTTTAAATTAAATCTCAAGTGTTACAATCACCCCCACTTAGGAACACAACGTCCTCGTTGCGCTCATAAACCAATCTCAAATCTCAAACAAATCCTAGAATCCTCCCCCGCTAAGTGCCCGCCCGATATCCAACGGGTCAGCACACTGTCGCAGGGTTGCTCTGATACCACCTGTAACACCCCGCCCCGTAGTAATAGAGTAGTTTTTATATTTATTTATGATTGTGGACTCCTTATGTAATTATGACATTTATTCTCTATATATATCTACCAGGACTACCAATATGGTTAAGCCTGGTAATTATTCTCACATGCTATCAAAAGCCATTCTTTCCTTACCCTAATTTTTTTTCTCGGCCATATGATGTTCTCTGCCTCTCCAATTTCTTCTTCCGCAGAGGCCTTCTCCGCCGCACGAATGGCGTCCATGTCCGCGCCGGTTTCCACAACCGCTGCTGCGACAAATGCTCCAAGCTCTGTCGAGGCCACCCATGACGTTTCCGCAGGTTCTTCTTCTCTCTCGGCCTCCATCCTCACCTCGCATGTGATTTCGGAAATCCCAAATTTTCAGCCGCTAACCAATGATCTGTCTTCCTCTGATGGCGTCTGGGTACCACCGGTGTTCCACTGGTCTCTTACCTCACAACCAGTTCACGCACAGCAGCCATATTCTTCGGCAATTCGCCCGCAGCCCTCCCCTTTCTTCTCCAGCGGTGGGGGTTCTTCGGGTCCGTATGTTGACACCTTCTTCTCCGGCGTCGTTGGCTCCTATCCCACGGTGAATTACGGCTCCACTTTTGCAGGTCCCACCTTCGCTGGTGCTCCAGGAGTCGCTCCTCTGCCTGCTTCTGCTTCCATCAGACCGATTGCTCCACGGTCAAGTGCCCCGCCTCCTCCAGGTTCTTCGTTATCTGATTTGGTTAAAAATATTGGTTTATCGACACTCAATATTACAAATATTGTTACTACCAAACTTGCGGCGGTTGAGGATTATCTCACTAAGCGTACTCAGTTTGAGTCCTTTTTGGTCTCTAATGTTTTTTTGGGAATTTTGGTCCCTATATTTTTAATGCATATCATCATGAGACAATCAACCCTGATTATCATAACTGGCTGAAACTTGATCAAACTGTGCGTTCTTGGTTGTTTGCTACATTGTCTCGTGATGTGTTAATTGAGGTGCGTGAATTAAAAAATGCCTTTGTTATTTGGAACCGGTTGGAGTCCCATTTTATGTCTGCTAGTCCTGCTCATTCCATTGAATTAAAACGCCAGCTTTCCCACTCTAAGAAAAGTCCTACACAGTCCATGGATCGCTATTTGCTTGAGATTAAAGATATTGCTGATAAACTTGCTGCCATAAATGCCCCTGTGTCTCCTCGGGAACTCTTCCAATATATTTTACTTGGTCTTGGTCGGGATTATGAGTCTCTTATCACGTCAGTGGACTTGTTTCTGGATTGCTTTACTTTTGAAAAACTTCGGACCAAGTTAATTGAGATGGAGCAGAGTATTCAGTACATGCGCTCACAAGAGGAGTCTAATCCCGCACAAGCCTTTGCGGTGTCATCTCCAGCAGCCCGCTCAGCCGCAGCCAGGCGGCGGTCAGCAGCAGCAGGGTGCCAGACAGCAGCACCCGCTGGGTCTCGGACAGCAGCAGTCCTTTGGCGGACAGGCACCTCGGGGGCGCGGTCAGCGGGGTGGCCGCGATGGCCGTGGCCAGCGCGGACGTGGTGGACGTGGTCAGCGGGGCCGTGGGTATGGTCAGTTTCAGCCTGGCCATGATTATGCTCCACACTTTGGATATGGTTATCCTCCACCGGGCTACTTTCCAGGGGGTGAACCGCATGCTGTCATTCTTGGGCGTCCAGGTTCAGCGGGTACGTCTGTTCACTCAAAATTTTATATTTATGCCTTATCTACTTTTTCTACTAACCATGGCTATGCAGGCTCTTCCTCAGTAGAGAGAAATTCAGTCCCTCCTCCATTTTTTTTGTCAAATTTGATATGCTCCAGGTCATCCAGCCTCCACCTGCCCCTCTCGTTTTGTTCAGCCGACTGCTCCTGCTCTTGCTGCTCGGGCTCTTGACGCTTCTGATTTGGTTTGGTATCCTGATTCAGGTGCCTCAGCCCATATGACTCCTCATTCAGGTATTTTGTCAAATAAATCCTTTTCTCCAAACTCTCATTCTATAGTTGTAGCAAATGGAACCACTCTCCCAATTGAGCACACTGGTCAGGTTACATTATCATCCTCGCCTAGGCATCTCCACTTAAAATCTGTTTTACATGTTCCTCATATTAAATGCAATCTGGTGTCCATTCAAAAATTGTGTGCTGATAACAACTGTACTGTGATTTTTGATAAACATCATTTTTTTGTTAAGGATTTAACAACGAGGGTGGTCTTTCTTCGAGCTCTCTGTGATAATGGTGTCTATCCCATCCATCAGCCTGCTCCTCGACCTATTGCTCTTTCTGCTGCGTCTCTTTCCATTTGGCATAATAGATTGTGGTACTCGTGTACTCGTGTGGACATTGTGGTACTCGTGTATTAGATCAGCTCAGACTGAATAATTTTATTTCTGGCACTTCTGCTGATATTTCTGATTGTATTCCTTGTCATTTGGGAAAATCTCAACGGTTACCATTTCATAAAGTTTTTCACAATAGCCCATGTGCTTTATATTTAATTCATTTTGATGTCTGGCAGTCTCCTGTAACATCTCATCTTGGTTTCAAATATTATGTTTGTTTTGTGGATGATTTTTCTCATTTTACCTGGGTTTATCCCATGCGGCACAAGTCTGAGGTTACTACTCATTTTCATCATTTTAAATTAATGGTTGAAAATTTACTTGACCGCAAGATTAAGATTTTTCAGAGTGATGGAGGGGGTGAGTTTGATAATTTTAGCATGAGAAATATTTTTACTAATCGTGGCATTATTTTTCAAAAATCTTGTCCTAAAACTCCACAACAAAATGGAGTTGCTGAGCGTAAGCATCGGCATCTACTTGAATTGGCCCGCACTATGCTCATTACTGCTAGATTGCCCGCTACTTTTTGGGTAGATGCCGTTCTTACTGCCACCTTTATCATTAACAGAATCCCCTCTCCCACTCTACATGGTTTGTCTCCTTTTGAAAAACTCTTCAATCTCAAACCTGATTTATCTTTTATGCGTGTGTTTGGATGTGCATGTTTTCCAAACTTTAATGCTTCATCTGCTAATAAGCTGCATCCACGGTCTGTTGAGTGTATTTTCTTGGGTTATGCCCCTGAATATAAGGGGTATCAGTGTTTTGACCCTCTTTCAAGTCGTGTCTATATTAACAGAAATGTCAATTTTTTAGAAAATATTTTTCCTTATTGTGATCTGGTACGTACCACTGTGTCGTCCTCTACGCAGCAGCCTCATGCTTCTCTTATTTATTGCCCCACCCGAGATCAGCCCCCACCATTCCATACTCCTCCTTCACCCAGTATACTACAACCTTCTCCAGTAGTGCCTGCTTTAATTCCTTTACCTCCCCATTCAATCGACTCACCCAGTACACCTGCTACATCTTCTATTACCATCCCATCTAATGTCCAAACATCACCATTTTCTGCCACTTCGAACCACATCATATCACCCACCTTTGCCCAGACTTCGGTCGAGCTCCCTGCAGACCCAGACCATAGTCGAGCCTTGCACCAGCCTCTTCCTTCCACAACTATGACCACTGCTGCATCCGTTGAAAATTCTTCCTCGGTTGTTAACCTTCACCCTATGCAAACTCGGTCCAAATCCGAAATTTTTAAACCCAAAACAATTTTTAATTTGAGCACAGTTGTTAACACACCTGATCCTACATATTTTTCTTTAGCAAATAAACATCTTAAATGGAGAGTTGCTATGGTTGAAGAATTTAATGCTCTTATCTTTAATCATACATGGGATTTAGTTCCGTTTGATGGTACTAAGATTGTGGTTGGGTCTAAATGGATTTATAAGACTAAGTATTTAGGTGATGGGTCTATTGATCGCTATAAAGCTCGATTGGTTGCGCATGGGTTTAATCATCAGACAGGTATTGATTTTACTGAGAGTTTTAGCCCTGTTGTTAAACCTACTACTGTTCACCTGGTTCTTACTTTAGCAGTGTTGTTTGGTTGGCCTATCCACCAACTGGATGTCAAAAATGCTTTTCTTCATGGTCATCTTACGGAGGAGGTATACATGCGTCAGCCACCGGGTTTCGTTCATCCCCGGTTTCCTCATCATTTGTGTCGGCTTCGTAAAGCCATTTATGGTCTTAAACAGGCACCTCGTGCCTGGTTTCATCGTTTCAGTAGCTTTCTTCTTTCTCATGGTTTTGTCTGCAGTCGGTCTGATAATTCTCTATTTATTTTTCAAAGTAATTCCGATGTTATCTATCTCTTGATGTATGTTGATGATATTATTGTTACTGGTAATTCTCCAAGATTAGGTACTCATTTTTTATCACTCCTTGCTAAATGCTTTTTCATGAAGGATTTGGGGGATTTGCATTTTTTCTTGGGCATTCATGCGACTCGGACTTTGTCCGGTTTATTTCTTTCTTAGCATAAGTATATATCTGATCTTTTTCTCCGTTTTCACTTTCATACATTGAAACCTGTCTGTTCCCCTCTTCTGAGTCGCATGATGGGGAGCTACTTGCAGATGCTACGGAGTACAGAAGTATGGTAGGTGCATTACAGTATTTAACTTTGACTAGGCCAGATATTACTTTTGTTGTACACTTAGTTTCTCAATTTATGCATGCCCCCCATACTTCACATATGTTGGTTGTTAAGCGTATTTTCAGGTATCTACAGGGCACATCCGCTTGGACTTCTTCTTCAGGCTTTTCGTGAATGTCCGGCTATTATTGCTTATTCAGATGCTGACTGGGCTGGATGCCCGAATACCGGTTGGTCTACATCTGGCTATGCTATTTTTTCTAGGGCTGAATCTCATCTTCTGGCGTTCCAAGAAGCAACCTACTGTGTCCCGTTCCTCCACTGAAGCAGAATACCGAGCTGTTGCACTCACTGTTCAGGATACTCTTCATATTCGGTCAGTCATATTTGAGTTGGGGTTTCCAGTTCGCCACTCTACTACGTTGTACTGTGATAATATTTCAGCATCATATCTCTCAGTTAATCTGGTTCATCATGCCCGTAGTAAGCATATCAATATAGACTATCATTTTGTTCGTGAACGGGTGACTCATGGTGATTTGCGTGTGAAGTTTGTTCCTACTCAGGCCCAACTGGCAGATATTTTTACTAAATGTCTATCTCCACAACGGTTTATTCTTCTTCATGACAATCTGCGCATTGTCCCCTCTGCGCAGCTTGAGGGGTGTAATAGAGTAGTTTTTATATTTATTTATAATTCTGGACTCCTTATGTAATTATGACATTTATTCTCTATATATATCTGCCAGGGCTACCAATATGGTTAAGCCTGGTAATTATTCTCACACGTAGGGCCCGAGGTAGTTATTCATACACACCCTCCAGACCTCTAGTACTGTCCTCACAAACCTCCACGAGTCTTTAACACGCACTTTGTCCTCACTCGTGCGTGCCCTGAGAAACTTCTCAGGGGGTCACCCGTCCCAAGACTACTCCCGTGTAGGCACGCTTAACGTTAGAGTTCTTGGTGATGAGCTCCCCTAAAAGGAGATGCATCTTGTTTGTATGAGTAGTACTATTAATCCGCTTAAATTAAATCTCAAGTGTTACACCAGTGGACATGGGAGCGAGGCAAGGGTACTCAAAAGTGGGTGGAAGAAAAACTAGATCGTGTATTGGTTAATGACCAATGGTGGGACAGTTTTATGGAGGCTAGAGCAACATCGGTGGAGGCCCCGACTAGTGATCACATTATTAATCAAAACCCATCCTACTATTTCTGGCAGAACCCGGAGAAAATTTCGTTTTGAGAATAATTGGCCGAGAGAGGAGGAGTGTAGAACCATTGTGGCCAATAGCTGGAGGGCGGGGAGGATATACCAGTTAGCGAGCGGATTCTTTTCTGTGGAAAAGAATTACTACGTCGGGAAGGAAGTTGGTCAAAAGGGTTTAAACACCAAATACAAGCATGTAAAAGAAGATTGACATGGTTTAAGAGGTAAAGATGATAATACTAGCGTTGCGGAATTTATTAGAATTCGGTTGGTGCTTCATTCGTTATTGGAAAACGAAAATCAATACTGGAGACAGCGTGCAAAAGAATTTTGGCTGAAGGAAGGAGATATAAATTCTCGCTTCTTCCATAATGCGGTTAAGGCACGAAGAAGGAAGAATAAAATGATTGGATTAAAGGGGGACGACGGAATATGGGTGACGAACCGAGGAGCGGTAGGGGACATGGTGCAAAATTATTTCCCACTTTTGTTTGCTAAACGAGCCAATAACGAAGTAGGGGAGGCCCTGGGCAGATGGAGAAGGTGCGACCGGAGCATAACAGGAGGTTGTTACGGCCGATCACTGCGGAGGAGGTTAAAGAGGCCACGTTTGCAATGCATCCAAAAAAGAATCCATGGGTGGATGGGATGAATCCGGACTTTTTCCAGAAATTCTGAGATATTATTGGACCAGAAGTGGTTAGATTATGCAGGAAGATATTTGGATCAGGTAAAATATCACCAGAGTTAAATGTTACTAATATTGTACTAATACCTAAGAAGGAGAAGCTGGAAAGCATGGGGGATTGGAGACCAATAACGTTATGCAATGTGGTCTACAAAATTTTCTCAAAGGTCTTAGCGAACCGCATGAAAGGGATGTTGGATTATTTGACTGGGGAGAATCAAAGTACGTTTATTCCAGGGAGATCGATTGTGGATAATACACTAGTTGCTTTTGAAATGCAGCATTGCCTGAAGAGAAAGCAAAGTGGAAAAGAGGGGTTTGTAGTTCTGAAGTTAGATATGAGTAAGGCATATAATAGAGTGAGTTGGAGTTTTTTGAGAACTATTATGGTGCGGATGGGGTTTGAAGAGAGGTGGATAGGGCTAATTATGGAATGTGTTGTTTCAGTCAGTTATTTTATCCAGTTTGATGGAGGGGGCTTGGGTCCGATTACGCAAGGACGAGGGCTAAGGCAAGGAGATCCTTTATCACCATATATGTTTATTTTAGTTGCAGAAGGTCTGAGCTCACTACTCAGAAAGGCCGAAAGCAGAGGTGAGCTACATGGAGTTGCGGTTTGTAGGCGAGCACCGAAGGTATCACATTTGTTTTTCGCAAATGATAGCTTTTTATTTTTAAAGCAAACTCGAGAGAATGTGATACGGTAAAGAAGATTTTAAGCCTCTATGAAGAATTGTCGGGACAGATGGTGAATAACTCAAAATCGTCTATTAGTTTCAGCCCCGATACGACGGAACATGCCAGAGTAAGCTGCAAAAATATGTTGGGTATTAATTCAGAAGGCGAGCAGGGCCGATACCTGGGACTGCCAACAATGGTCGGCCAAAATAAGAAGACAATATTGGGATATCTTTGGGATAGAGTTTACAATAAAATAAAAAGCTGGAATAATCATTTTCTCTCTAGAGCAGGGAGAGCGGTTTTATTGAAGAATGTGCTCCAGGCAATGCCTACGTATGCTATGAATGTCTTCTTACTACCAAATGAACTGCGTGATGAAATTGAAGAACATATGAATGGTTTTTGGTGGAGGGGATCGAAACTTGACCAAAAAGGGATGAGGTGGAGAAGCTGGAAGAATTTGTGTAAACCAACCGAGGTAGGAGGATTGGGGTTCAAAAGACTTAGAGAATTTAATTTGGCCATGTTACCAAAACAAGGATGGAGATTAATTAATGATGAGGACAGTCTTATGGGGAGAATTATGAAGGCAAAGTATTTTCCCAATTCTAATTTCCTTAATGCTACACTTGGAAATAACCCTTCTTTCGTGTGGAGGAGTATATTCGAGACCCAGGAAATTCTGAAGAATAATATAAGGCGGAGGGTTGGGAACGGTGTGGAAGTCCAGGTATGGGCGGATGCATGGCTGCCAGGAGAGGATGATGGGAGAATTAGCTCACCGTGGCCTACAGAAATTTGGGATATGAACGTTTCCGCTT